AGGAAAACATTCATGACATGAGAAAACATTATTCACGACCTTTTCACTGGATTGTAGAAATTACTTTATTTTTCTGGTTCTATTTTCTGGGTGTTAGCTCATTTATTCGATCGATACACAAAGTGGCATTTCATGTAAAGATCAATATTTTATTAATTCATCCATGAAAGTGAAATTAAACATTTTCCTCTGTAACAAGAATGTGAATCAACTCTCCATTGACTTAGAACCATTTTAATCCTATCCTTTGTATCATTTCCTTATATCGATTCGTAGTGAGGATTTCAAACAGAATTTAATAAATACAAATGTTATTCAATTTTTGTTGAAAAAAATTTTTCTGCTATCAATTGTTAAGGCAGGGATACACATGCTAATAAAAAAGCATATTAATGGTGACTAGTTTGTATGCTACTGAATAGCATGCTACGTCAAACGTGTACATTTGCTGGAGAAGTAACATATTTTTACTGGCATGCAGCTTAATCGTACACGAGTAACGCATTCACTTTCCCGATATAATTGTATAAATTTTATTGTTTTACAATCTCTCCTCATCGAAACGTTATAAAACTTGGGAATTAAATAATTTTCCTTAGCAAGCAAATCACGTTAACACGTACATATGTAAGAACGTATTTACTATTTGTATGCTGCCGGGAAGCGAACGTATTCAGATTTTCTTTGTTTTATACCGTATTACCAACAGTAATATTTCTCAGTTTTTTTTTTAACAACGAGCACTCTTTTGTTAATTCTTCAAGGTTTATTCTCTTAAAGTGTTATGAAACTTATGTGATCATCTTAGATGTTAAAGTAATAAAATAACTTCTTAGATGCAGGTAAATTGTACATAGGTTGTGCATACAAATTTATATATTTCTTGATCAATTCTATAAAATATAATAAAAAGTACATAATGAAAACCCAACATTGATGGGTGAATAAAATTCATTTGATTCCATAGATGATTCATAATAAACGAATATGAAAATAATAGATTTATAATTGTTCGAATGGCTATTTTATCATTAGCACTAGACTATGTTTCTTCGAAAAGGCCTGGATTCAGGAAACAATGTTTATTAAATCCTACTGATGTTACTATCGAAGTTTGACATTCGTCGTTTATTGTTCTTTGTATTTTTAATCGTTCGTCCACCTGTAGAATATGAATTAGTAGTGAGCGATTTAACTATCGTATAAAGTGACGATCATATAATTCTGCGAAATTGTTTACCATGTTAAATAAGTCCTGAACATGAGTTTTATGCGCATAATTCATAAATACTTCGCATAAAATTTGGAGGAACCAACTTCCAGTTATTTTATCTCGGAAAGCTACATGTTCTGGAAGAGTAGCCTGGGCCACTAATATATCCGCATAATTTCTTATTGTCTCGTTACAATTCATCTTAGAATTGATCATTTCATCCGTCGAATGAAAATTAGATATATCGGTTGTGTGTCGTGGTTCTCTTATCGATTTCTGTACTTTTTTCCCTCTGAAATATAATATCTTGTAGAACACGAATTACAGGAACTTGTAAAAATACTATGGACATAATGTTCCCAGCAATATTAATCATTTGAGTACTATATCAAGCGATTGTGCCAACCACTGCCCTAATATTGAAAAGTATGTAGCAGTATGTTGCTTTAATGGATCCTATTGGCAAGATGTTTAAACCGTGTGTCGATCGTTATGGAAAATGCAGAGACTCGAACGGTTAATGAGCTAATTAAAAGTTTATATAACCATACAGATGTTTTTCAACCTCTTTTCGAAGGATTAACATCGAAGAAAAGCCTATACTTACCTACATAATTGAAAAATGAAGATCTTTGGCTTTCCAGCAAGATGGGGACAAACTTCTGCAATAAAGTAATCCAGAATATCTTTGCACAAAACGTTTTTGTCATTTTGTAGTTCACTCTCATAATTATTATCCACACACTCTATTTCAGTAATCTCGTACTGCGAATTTATGTTACCATGACTACTAACGACGACAAAACATGAATCGACTTTTCGTAAATCTTTGCGTTGAGAGAATTCCCTCATGTTCTCCATAAATTGCTTGAAGAAAATATATCGTTACAGTTAATACTTTTGAATGTTTTCAAAATATGAAAAAAATTGTAAACTATGAAATTATTCACCTTTTTAGTTAAATCGGTGTAAGGAATGACCTGAAATCCCATCTGTTCAAAAAGGTGCTTGACATTCTTTTCGTCAAGAGCTGCCGAATATCTAGGATCTTGAGTGGAATACTTGTAATGAATGTTTGTAACTATTAAAACCAATCCACGAGGTTTACTCCGCATTGGGTATCTTTGAACATTTTCATACACAGGTCCATCTAAAAATTTTGTAGCCTTCCGTACTTTAATTTGTAGAGGTACTTCTGACAACTGCATATGGTAGAAAAAATTGTCTTGTATCCTTTTTAGAGGAAAGCGTGCAATATTTGTTAATATCTTGTAACAAAAAAGTAATTTGTAGTTGCCAATATTTTAAATATTACCCTTCTTTGGTTGACTTAAAAGTTCTCTCTTGAATAGTCTCATTATTTATATCATTATCCTTACTAATAGTTGTTGTATTCAATTCATTCTCTAAAAATGTAACTTTTTTTCCCTCCAAAATGTCAGCTAAACTTTCATGTCCACTTTGTCTTAAACTTTTGACGAAACGATTGAACGCGTACGGTCCTCGTGTTTTAATAGTCAAATATATGTCCTGTGTAGTCGAATTGTCTGCGAGTGTCTCCTAAGAAGAGAAAAAAGTAAAGTTACATATTGTTATTAAATGGTACAGCGACACATCCTTACCTTCCAACGTGGTACGTTTACATCGTCTCTATTAAAAATTTTATTTTCCAATAACTTTGGCCATAACGTGTTTATATTTATTCTAGGTACTAGAATTTCACAGTACATATCTATCACATCTCGATGTTTTTGATTCATGTTGAATATCAGTAAGAAACTGTTGTGCCTTGAAATGTGACAATTGTTCGTATCATTTAACCGTAACACATGGAATTCCGCGATTTAAGCGTGTCTTTTAATTCACGGGATTAAACTATACTTGCATATAGAAAGATCGAAATATGTACTTGTATTATGAATAGTTTTCGATGGGAAGTATGAGCGAATCGATTGTAAAGTTCCATACAAGAAGATGCAATTGTACGGTCAGTAACGATTGTCGTCAGTGTTTCTCGACATTGAAACAAAATGAGTCATTGTATGTTCAACATACGCAGTATGGTTACCATATCGGATGTATGCGTGCATGGATTTGTCGACGTACATGATTATCTCCTACCTCATGTCGACTATTTAGGTGTGAATAAATCTCTAAAAATCATCTAAGACGAATGATTGCTGAGATTGGGGTAGTTTTTTGAGATAGCATCACGGGCAAGGCATGAGAATAGACTGAACCCGTTACAGATTTTCGCGGAGCGATTCGACTGCTTTACCGACCTAGAAGTCCAGGACGGATTACAGCGTCCTCTTTTCTCGAACGGCGGTCAGTCATGGAACTTGATGACCCACTGAACTGCTGTATCGGAAGATGATGACAATTCTGCTGATTCCACGTACGTATCTAAACGATTGTGTTTCGTTGATGGCCTAATGTTGCCTAACGATCGAAATTTACCTCGAACGCTTGGTTGTCAGCGTATTCTCGAAGAATGCGAAAAATTTCTACTCTACAATGTTGTCTATCCAAGCGTTATTACATAAACGAATGATCTGTTTGAAATTGAAAGGTGTCGCCTGCTTTGTATCTTTGCTGTCGAAACAACGTTAAAATTACGCATCGATTCGCGTATAGAATTCATAAGAACCGCAGACTCGATGGTTAGTGCCCTCAAGTAGCGATCAAGGATTGTCGTCTAGACAACCGTATAAGTAGAGATGCCATTTTATCCTTGAGAGCCTCTTGCTCTCCTCATCTGTGTATGTTTCTCTCTGTTATTGCTCGGCGCTTTGTCACTCGTTAATTGTTGCTTCGAATCGCATCTCTGTTCGGAAGAGTGAAAGAAACGAGTAAAACGAGAAATCGAACGCGATCGGGTGTGCACGATCGGAGATGTAAGACCGTGGACATGTACATTGCGGTAAGGAGAAGCGAGCGGCGAAGAGAAATGTGGACATAACGTGGCGGACGTCGCCTAAAAGCTCGTCCAATAGGTCGCATCGTTGTGCTCTCACAACGTCGTCCTTGGAGTTGATTGTCGTAGATCTTATTATCCCCACTTGCTTCAAGGAGGAGTCGACTCACAGCCAGCCAGTACGTATGAACGTGTATACACATACATACACTCCATTCGTGTTCATTCGTGCACGTGTTTGTACGCGCGTGTGTATACCTAGAGGTTAGCCCGACGAAGGGTGAAGTCCCCCTTGTAGCCTCGAGCCAACCTTGTTAGCGCTAATGATGGAATTCGCTGTGAGATGCATAGCGGACCAAGACAAGACTCTCTGCCTTCGAGTTTCCGTTCTTCGATTCCGCAATTGTTCCAACGACAATTATTCCCTGATTATTTTCTCCCGTTTTGATCGAGATCGACCGATGTTCTTCGAATGCTCTTCAAAGTCGGAATATCGGGTACAATACGGACGTACGATATCGACGTTCAATTAGACGACTTTCGTTCCTAGATCTAGCTGCGTGACAAAAATACCAACGAACAGTTAGGGGTCGGCAAGCGTATGTAAGCGAGTACTCGGCTAGAACAGCACGCGAAAGAGGGAAGAGAGGATAAGTGAAAACGGGGGAGAGAGTTTCGCACAGCAACCTCAGCCCCCGTTAACCCTGCAAATCTGTTAGACCGGAAAACGAGATAGGAACGCAGGACGGCAGAATGGCAGAATGTCTAGAAACAAACGACGGCCGATAGGAGTGAACGAGCAGTGAATCACCTAAGCACTTGTTTACCAAGAGAATCAAGAATTCAGGGATTGCCGTTCAGAGTCTCGGAATCCTGCCCCATCGGTTTTCCAGCTCCGTCACGACTCTACACCACCGCCGCTACTTTCTCATTCGTGAGTTCACAGAGTGCGAGAGCGATATCTGTCGCGCCAAAAAGCACACGCGTCTTTCGATGGAGAAGGACGAAACATGGGGGTTAGGGGAATCGAAGGTTGAGAGCTGGTACAGTTGCTATGGTGGTGGTGGTGGTGGTGGTGGTTGCGCCGATGGCACCGATGACAGCGGCGACGGCGACGGCGACGGCGACGGCCACCAGTGGTAGACTTTGGAGAAGGAGAGCCGGAAAAGCAGCACTAGAATCGCTAAATGTAATTCGGTTAAAAGGGTTTTAGCAATACAATGCATATAAACATGAGTGCCCCGCCTCGGCGTTCCTCCGCGTTCCTCCGCGTTCCTCCGCACGCTTTACTCTTGTGCCACCCTACTCTAGGCAGACCTGCTAAACGCCTGCGACTGCCATACCTCTCGATTCGGTTCAACCAAGATTCTCATTGTCTACATTCTCTGAAGTGATCGGATTCTATTAAATGAACGGAAAACACATCCCTATCGTGCGTACGTTTTTCCGAATTCTTTTCAAGTGATCTAAAGCGATAAGTATTCGTGGAATATTCGAATATATATTTTATAAACGTATATATACGTATCTATGCCTCGACTAGTACGAACACACCGATGTATTTCGAAATACGCGTCAACAGACTTTTCGTCGAATCCGGATACGTATACATATTCGCGAAATGTAATTTTTCCTCTTCTTCCTTTGCTCTTTTCCATTTCATCGCTGACGACTGGTTTTCCAAATGGGTGGCTTTCACTGGCTGCAGCCAGTAGAAGCAGTCATCCGCGTAACATCGCGGAATTTGTAACGGGGAATTAGCATATCATAAATACTGATGATCCGGTTTGCGTGCGGGTACACGGTACCAAGGAGGGCGGAAGGGAACAGGAGCTTATGATCACGTCTATATCGAATATCGTTGAATTTTCCTCGGCAGTAAAGACCTGTGAAAATCTCTGGACGATTAAAAACAACTGCTCTTACGTCGTGTCGCAACATACATGTATTTACGCACGCGCATGCATCGCGTTTCCAAACTAAACTAAGGGAAGAAATCGAGTGAAATATTTTCTTCGTTATCCATCATTTATTTTAGGAACTTGTTGCGACATAGTACAACGTGTTTTCTCGCATCGCACTCTCTACATTAATCGTACACGAATAATATTTACAATTATGTCATTTATCATAAATAGGTACATGTTTTCGATCGAAGGTAGATCTAGAGTAACTTCGGAATAAAGCTGCGATCGGAAAGATCATCTTTCGTGCGCGCGCTCTTCGCGTTTCTGTAGTTTTTATACACACGGTTGTGACTGGTCGCACCGATACGTCGCATTTTACGTGTACTGGTACACACACGAGTACACCAGTATAGACCATATTCTTGCGGTACAGAGTAGAAACGTATGATACACGTGCTCGTTCTCGATAACAGTCTACTCGGCAATATTTCGGAATGGTTCGTATTCTGCGGAATACGATCGTACAATTATGGGTTACATTGTTTTGTGGATTGTTCCCTATATTTACACACGAGTGTCGCAAGATCAAACCGGAACGGTATACGTGTAGTTACTTATGAATGTCTACACATTCGAACGATTGAAAATTCGATTTGTTGTCGGAGGTTGTCAGTCTAATCGATCATCACGGCCTCTTACATATCTCCGGTTTTCCTATCCTTCGTTTATCGCTTGATCCTCGATGGATCGCGCAAGCTTACGTTCCTCGAAACGTTCCTTCGAGGAACAGATCGAGTGTATTGCTAAGTATCGAACGCGTATCAAACGCATTACAAATACGAGACAGTCGAGTTTCGCATAACAGTTCTCTCGACTTCTGTTTGCTGTTCAGTTCGATTTTTCCGTTTTACTTTGTTCGCCCTTTTATACTACGTAAGGCCGATAAAGCGGTTCTTGAAGTTCAGTCGTGCTCCTTTGTGTTTCCTGCAACGTTCCTTTAGCATCCTCTTGCGAACTCGGCGAGTTTGTGCCAGGATCGCCTGTGGTGTCCCTCTCGGCGTTCCTCGTATTTCCTCCGTCGTCGACTTTGTTATTCGTACGTGCCTCTTGCTGCGCCTTTTTACTTCTTTTCCACTTCATTCGTCGGTTTTGGAACCAAATTTTCACCTAAATTCAAACAACAATGGATTCGAATCATCATTGAGTGACCAAACGTGCGACTCTAGTATGCATACGTAGAGAAAGAAAGAATTAACGGTGTCAACGGATGAGAGGCGAACACTCGAGAAGAAGGTAAATCATTTGCTTCCTTCGCCTGATCATGATCTTGGAAAACTGGTAATATCAAACCGAAAGCGAGAAGTACGAATATCCTGATATGAGCCCCGATGCGAGTCGTAATACATGGCTATTCGAATCGCTGCCACTAAATACATAAACTCGATGTTTCTTCCCCCTCCCCCAAGACGACGAGAAAGCGATGTAAATCTTTCCAGCGATATATCACATGCTTGAACCGACCCATCTTCCCTTCCGACTCTCTCTCTCGATTACATCTCCACCCTTCGGAAAAAAGGTACGATGCCTCCTTTTCCTCGTGTAATGTATATGCATACAAGAACACCTACCCGCACAGGGAATATCGGCCTGCCGTGATATGGATTATATAATACGTCTACACGGATAAACGTACATACACGCGTATGATTCTAATACAAAAGAAATCAAATATCACTTTGTATTCAATAATTGATTACATACCTACACCCTGTTCCTGCATTTCACATAATTCGACTGACAATCGGAAGAAGATGCAAGGCTACACTTGGCCAGTTGAATGGTAGATATTCAGTATCATATTGTAGATAGGTAACGAGAACATACGGATATATATGGTATTATACGAGCAGATACGCGACATACGGATATTTTTCGACTATTATTCATCAGTGTCGCTTCAAAGTAAGAAAGAAGAATGAAAGAAATGGCAAGCGGCGAAATGAAAGTAATGCGACAGGAACGTTTGAACGTCGGAACGTTGGAACGTTGGACCGGTGGAACGCTCGAACGCTCGAACGCTCGAACGCTCGAACGCTCGAACGCTCGAACGCTCGAACGCTCGAACGCTCGAACGCTCGAACACTCGAACGTTCGAATGTTCGAACGGTACAAGGATAGAATCCGAGGATAGAATCGGTTAAATATCGAAACAAATCAGGGATTCAGCCTGCCATAACTCAGACTTTCGTCGCTATTTGCCAAGCGATCCGTCAGAATACATAAGCTTCGAAGTTATGTTTAAGTTGTTGAACTACACGAGAGAATCACTGGTTGGCATTTCTGGTTGGTCCGGCTAACAAGGCAAGGAAAGATGTTGCATTTCACTGTCTTCCTTCGCTACATTTTTCTCTATTTTTCTCTATCTTTCTCTATCTTTCTCTATTTGATTTCGCCTCGGTTCCAATATCACCACGGTTTCGAATGGAAACACTCTCTTCAAAGTTTCTTCCTGATTTTCGAAATACGACATTTTCAATCGTTCTCTACGAGAGCTAGTCAGGACTCCGTCGCAGGTGGTTTCTCAACGGCGATATTTTACCTGTGTTTCCGTGAGCATCAGCGAGGTAGCCACTTCAAACCTTTTCGGTCTGCTCAGATACTTGTTCTGTCTAAATTGTTTTTCCAATTCGAGCAACTGTTGCGAGGTGAACGCAGTTCTTGGTCTCCTAGTTTTCCCGAGCAGTGCGTGTTGGGCTGCGCAACCTTCAACCAAGCAAACAAACAGAAAATTAACGCATCGAATACGAATATATTCCGATAAACACATTCATCGGAAATTCTATAATTTCGGTTAGTATAAATACTAATCGGGAAACCAATAAAAATCATTGAATGCTAATGCAATTATCGCAAGTGTAAATCCCTATGGGTAGCGATGGTATGATTTGGGGTTGGGGACGGTTCGGTGTAAAAGGCAAGGGTAGCCGCCCTAACGATTAGTCCTACGGACGACTCTTGGTCCTATTCGAATCCCCTCTTATGATTTTACGAGCGCAAATCGAGGCGAAGTTTAATCTCCGTCGTAATACGATATTTCCACATTATTTTAGCAGTCGTACGATTTTCCGCTTTTCACGTTCATCTTTGTGTTCTCAATTTCTAATCGGTCGCTCGGTGAAATTACCCAATTACGATTAGACCGAGAGTCGAATTTTCTTCGATCAGAGGCTACGATTTCTCGATGAAACGACGCGCGTTTGTCAATGAACATTTCTAGATACACGTCGATCGAAAGTAACGAGAGATTTATCGTGTTTTTCCTTACTGTTGCTTTTAATGCAAACGCCAATTCACCCTCCTCCAACAAAACTGTACCTAGCAAGTGTGTGCGACCGGCTGTCAATGTTTGTACACATGGCAGTGTTTAGTCCCGCGTGCATTCGGATTAATCTCGAAGGTGCGATACCCTTATGTCGCTCGTAATCAGCCGTTTAACCAGACGTTCGTCATCCGGCTGGGGATACACTTTATGGCGTTGGAAAACTGATCGATGCATCGTACTGGTTTACACTGAGACGTTCATCCAAGCGTGTACCTACGCTACGCGTGCGAATGGATCGTAGCAATTGGAACACATCGGCCATTGCGTCCGATTATTACAATATCTTTCATATATTGTTTCTCCAACTCGAGAATCACTGGAACAACGATACGAACAAGGTTACGAATAATTGACAGCCTTCCTTCCGTTTTCACTATTTACCGCACGCATAGCTATTAATCGTTTCTTCAATCAATGGTTTGCCGCCCGCTGCGCACATATGGTCCGTTCGGTAATATCTACCCTGCCATTTCGTAACAATTACCATTCGGACGATTGCCTCTATTTCCTTGAACGGCCCTCTACGATTTACCCTCGGTTGTATCTGTTCTGAAATTTGATGCGCGATTCGGCTCGATCGAAGTCGCGTTCCTTTCAACGCCGTCCGTTACGCCTCCTAATTTAAGCAGTAGGATTTTAGATCCGCTACTATGCGTAGACTGGAAGCTCGATGGATAGCAATCTCCGAGATTCGGCGAACAGCGTTTGCGTTTTCAACGATTGCTTTGTCGATTTTTTCCGATTGAATCGAATCGAATCGAAATGCGCCGGTGATACTTACACGTTACCAACGAGAGAGCGCAAGTTATGACAGATGTCGGTAAACAAGAGGGGCGGCACCATCGAGTGGACAATTACCATTTTCGTACTTCTCTCCATGTAGGGTAAAACTGTGGGGTGAAGCTGTGGGGTGAAACTGTGGGGCGCCGTTAAGGTTAACGTCATTCGCCAACCCACCACACTTTTATCATGATAATTTAATTTATTTGGGGTCCTATTAGCCGCTTCACGCCAGCTCACCCTTAAATCATAACGATCGCCACACCGGTAAACACCAGCTATTATCTACATATTTAACGCGCCTTTTCATCTTGCAGCTCTCATTCGTAATTGCTCCCCCTCTCTACTTTCTCCTTTTCGTTGTTCCATCAAGGATATTCTTCCAATAAGGTACTTGGAGCGTTTCTCTCTTGCAGCTCGGTTCTACGACACAGTCGATTCTTCCATACACATAGGTGCGTACGTACAACATTATATTATACATTCGCTCGCCATTCGTTCGAATAGAATTGTTCGGTAAAAGCGAATTAGCTGAAACCTCCTAGAACCTTCCAGGGATACGAACAATTGCGTATTCAAGTGGTATCAACCACTACGAAACCTCGACTCTCCGATGATTAATATTTGCTCCGAAACGAACGGAGCATAGGAATTGCCGATCTTGAACGATGCGTGTAGAGTATTACGCATCATATTCGGAAGTTTTTATGGTATTCTTATCCCAGAAGGAATTGGAAAATGATATTTCTTTTCTGCCTCGAGTTTCGCTCTGTCGCCCCTCTTTCCATTTCTTCCGATGCGATGTCTAGATTTCCTAGTTTACCATTTTTCTTCTCGTTCTCAAGTTCCATCGATGGGTGTGAGCATAGACGCGATCGTGGGCGCAGATGCGGCGCGGGCGCGTCCGCGCGCGCACTCTCTTTCGAGATCATTCTCCCTCTCCTTGTTTCGCATAGCGACGGAAGCTCCGCCTGTAGCCCCGAGTCCTCGATACGACCCGCCTCCGAATTCTCAACCCCTCGGGTATAGCAGACGAAGGAAGACGCAAAGGGCGAGGGTAACGTTGCTATATAGAATATCCCACCATCTCTCCACACTCTGCTACACTCTACACCTACGATCGTGAGACGTCATCGACTCCTTGTGCCCTACCCCACGGTTACAGATCCATGGCGGTAAGGGTTACGCGATAGGGCGGCGGTGGAGATGGATCCGGAGACGGAGGTGCACCGGGAGGGGAACAGTTGAAAGAACCAGAAGAAGAGAGAGGAGGAGAAGGAGAAGGAGACGAAGAAGACGCGAAAGAAAGGAAGAAAGGGTGGAGGAGCGAGGATAGACCGTGGCGGAAAAAGTTGGCCAACTTTTCTCAGAGATTATTTTCCTTGTCTGAAATGGTTGGATTTAATTTGAAACTCGCCTCGCGAACTCACCACAAATCACGCCATAAACATTCAGAACGTTATCGTTCCATTTTGCCGTGGTACCGCCGCGCCGCGTCGTGCCGCGTCGGCTGGAACCACTTTCTACTTTGTTTTCCTCTCAACGCGATAACAGGACATGGAATTTCGTTGCTTCTCGTTGTCCTCTGCGTAATCGTTTCGATGGGCGATCGCTCTCGATGCGCCAACGTCGAATCAACCACAATTCAACGTGCATTTTCTTAGGTGCATTCGAGATGCCCGGAATCATATTCACACGGCACGCCTATACACGTGGAGCCTTGTAGGTTTTCGTATAATCGGCCTTACTCATCCATATCTACATACGTGTTACCAACAAACCAGAACATAGAGATACCTATAGGATGGCGCATTTGGGCGAACGTGGAGCACGTTACACATCGGGTAACCAAGATCTGTTTGCTTGCGGCCGGCCAAACTAGCTGGTAGCTAATTCAGAAACACCATTACCGCCTATATGCCTATAGATAGGTATGTAGACTGATGCCACCGCTACTGCCACCGTCACCGCTACCGCCATCGACACCACCACCACCGCGCCACCGCCGGTGCCATCGATGTTGCTTTAATCATCCTTTTCGTTACGTTTTCATCCCTTCGCCCTTCTGTCTACCCACTTTACTTCTTCATCTCCACATATACATATACGTAATAATATACGTAGGTATTCCGAAAATATTGCCAAAATTAAAGGCAAATGAATAACAAGTTGGGTTTCACAGGTTCCTCCTACTTGATCTCGGTAGATACATTAACATTGGGTAAATATAAAAAATATAGGTGTCCGATTTAACGTACTTTGCAGAGAAAACTTTACAAACGCATCGTTCAGGTAGATCGAAATGATTTACGTTCTTGGATCGTTTCAGAGATGAGTGAAATTAGCTGGTCTGGCGACGCGTAAGTTCGTGGAGTTTCCATGGTAACTCGCGAACGCTGGTACCAACACTATGGTATCGTTGAGAGAAGGGTAAAGGGGATGAATAGACGGATGAATGACGCACAATTAACTAATTAAATCATCCACCAACCCTTCGCGTGCTTCATCTCTCGGGTATCGTTCCCCTTTGTTGGCAGAACTCCCGCCACCTCGTCGACATCTTCGGCTATTGTTACACCTTTCCGTTTCGTAAAATGTGTGCGGGTAACGTTATGATAAATAAAGAGAGAGGAACGATCAAAAATGGAGTCCTCGAGAAAAATTTCAAAACAAGAGGAGAGAAAAGCATGAAAATTCCCATCATCGATTAACACGCTTTTAGTTCGAAACAATATGTATATGTACAATACATATATACAAGATATATCGACTATCGTAAAAGGTCGCGAAATACACACGGCCACGCTATTGTTCTGCTTAAATTTCGATACCTCAAAGCTCGGCTCGAAATAGATGAAACATGGTGTTGTCGCAACGTTGCCACGAATATAACGCGCGACAAATATTCCGCAAATAAAAGCTCGCATCTCCTACCTTCACCCTACCCCCTGTCAGTTCACGCTGCGGAGTCGTTGAGTCGCGCACTCGCCATTATTTACATAAACGTCGAGAGCGTACGAGGATGCGAAACTAACAGAGAAACAGAGAGAGAAAGGTGGCGAGTTAACGGAGTTGAGGTGCATAGAGAGAGAGAGAGCGAGCGAGAGGTAGGATAGAGGAACATAGCACAGGCAGGACTGAACGGGATGGTACTCCCATACAGCAATTTTTTAACAAGTCGAGTCCGTGTTCCCTGCCGACGCGATAACGGTCGCTTCAGGTGGGGCTGTATGCATTCGTTTTATTTTATTCCACGAGACCGCTTTTTTGTACTCGTTGTTCGTTTTACGCTATCGGGTTTTTGCCTTTTTCGTCGACGTTGGATTGCTCGGCAA